GTGAACCTAGTAGTCTTAGTAGATACTAGTAAATCGAGTAGATCTAGTAGATATAATAAATCGAGAAGACTTAGTAGATGTAGTAGATCTAATAGATTCTAGTAACCCTAGTAGACCTAGTAGACACTAGTGAATCTAGTAGACCTAGTAGATACTAGAAAATCTAGTAGACCCAGTAGATACTAGTAAATCTAGTAGATCTAGTAAATACTAATAAGTCTAGTAGATCCAGTAAGTACTAACAAATCTAGTAGATATAGTATATACTAGCATATCTAGTAGACCTAGTAAATACTAGCAAATCTAGTATACTTAGTAGATACTAGAAAATCTAGTAGATACTAGAAAATCTAGTAGATACTAGAAAATCTAGTAGATATTAGAAAATCTAGTAGGCCTAGTAAACACTAGTGAATCTAGTAGACCTAGCAGGTACTAGAAAATCTAGTAGACCTAGTAGATATTAGTAAATCTAGTAATCCTAGTAAATACTGGCAAATCTAGTAGACCTAGTAAATACTATAAAATTTTGTAGACCTAGTAAATACTAGCAAATCTAGTAATCCTAGTTAATACTAGTATATCTAGTAGATCCAGTAGTTCCAGCAACACACAGATAACGAAGACAGCCGGTTAACAGTGCCCGATAACACCGGAATAAAAGGCTTAACTCTCCGATCGGCAATTGATTAGTCCTTGCATAAGAACGGCTGGTGAACTTTTTTGCCCTGGTGCCGTTAAAGCGGCAGGTCGCTCGCTATAATCCCTTGTCTCTCCGTCGGATGGAACGCGGGGCCGGTCGGTAAACACGGTTGTTTGGACAGCGGTGGCAATCAGGGATCGTGCCATGCCGTGCCGTGCCGGTTTATTACACGGACGCTCTAAAATTCACACTTCCTTAACGAACAACGATCGCCACTTAAGCGAAAACATTATCCGGAAGAAGCGCCCCTGCGCTTTCGCCGCGGTCGTGGGCAAACGATAGCGTGTCCGCGGGAACTGCCAGGGAAAAAAGGGAGAAAAAGGGAACAAAAGAAAAAAAAAGATGTAGGTCCGTTCTAATGGGCTAGGGTCGTTCGGCGAGAAAGGGAGGCAAGAAACGGTCGGTGAGGGAGGAAAGGGAGAAAGAAAGAACGGCGAGAAACGATGAGAACTGTATGTCGACGCGTATGCCACTAGTCTCCCTCCCCCCTCCTCACCACCGTGGAAAACACCGTGGTAGGCGGCGACCCTCTAATAAGAGACAGGCGATAAGGGTGAAGTTGGCTCGTTGGACGGTCATTTTTCAGCGCGTCCGTGCAACGTTCCCACCACGTGCCCGTTTAGTAGCGCCAAATAAAATGGCAACACCGTGCACATAAATACCGCGCGTCCCTAGTCGTTGCAAAAATTAGTTATCTGTTGGAGGATCAGTCTTTCCACCTATTCTGAAAAAATGGCGACAGTTTGAAGGGTCCAGCGACGATCTTGAATGAGCCGTAGAGTGGCGGGGTGGGGGTGCAGCGCTGGGGCAACATCGCCACTGGAAATTGTCATTGGGATCCATCGGCGTCGGCCGATCGCATCCGCGGAGTGCCCCTCTCCACCGCCCCGCGGCACATTCCGGCACCGCCGCCGGATCACGCGACCCCCCCCCCCACCTCCCCAGCATGCCCGGTAAGTCCTATCTCCGGTAGATAATTAATTTGTCTTGGCCAGGTTATGGGTTTCTGGACCAGCTTTGGACCAGTGAGGGAATAACAGAGGAAAGAGACGTCGGGCCGGGCTGGGCAGACAAGCGAGGAGGACATAGGGCCGCGAACATGTTCATCTTCGTTGAACCGGCTGCCGTAGTAATTACGCTTTCACGTGGTACCGGCCGAGCGGATCCGCGGCCTCTCTGTGTCTGCGCTGGCCGGAGAACGCGTCATTCACTGAGCGGCAGTACTCCGCCTCGGAGACGCCGCGCGGAGTGAAGCAGAGCCGCGAGAGGCAGCCGAACAACTACACCGAATCCTTACGCTTATTTGCCGCGCGACAACGGCACCCCCCACTCCCGCCGGGCGTCGCCGAAATGCGGGAACGCGGCGACCGACGCTCGCTTGACGCGCGAAGCCCGCCGGGAACCGCGTCGCGGATTCGGTCCACGAAAGTTCCCGGTCACGGGAAGCCCGAGCGTTCGCCTGCCGGGCGAAGCGATCGCAGCGCCGTCGCGAGAAAAAGCGGAGGAAGCTGCGTGCAAGCGCGGCGCGATAAACGCAACGTCTTGCCGCTGGCGAGAGCGAAGCGTCCGCGGCGATTGCGTTTGTCGAGTCGTTAACGCGCCGCCTCCGTTTTTCGCGGGACCCGCCAGCGGAGGCTTAGTCGCGGACATGATCGATGAGGCCGCGCTGCAGCGCCGAGTACGGGCTGTTCGACGAAATTCGTTCGCGCAACCCTCGCTGCGCTAATCGAATGACAGAGCGTCGCTGCGTGACGTAGGCGCGCACGATGTTCGAGGACGAGTTTGGTTTTTAAACGCGGAATGTAATCGACGCCGTACCCCCCCCCCCCCCCCCCCCCCGCCCCGG